CCCCAAAACCCCAAAACCCCAAAACCCCTACTGATAAAAAAGCAAAAAATATATAAAAGAGGGAATAAAATAATATTCAACTAAAGATTGTAATTAGTTAACAGTGAAATAACCTAAACAAATTTATTAAATGGAGGATAATAATTTCAGTCAAAAAGAAGGATCTCCTTCCCCAGACAACAATCAAAATTTGTTGGAAAGGTATTTACAGATAGACGAAGATGAAAGGGCGGAGGAGGAAAATGAGTATAGTGTTACATTTCACACAATGATTAATAGAAGTCAAAATAAATCTTCCAGAAGTCCAGTTAAATAGCATACTCACAGATCAAATAAATTTTAAAGTGCTCATTTCACTCAAGATTAAAAGATAATTATTAACCAAAACAAATACATAGTAAACGATTAAGAAATTGTAAAGAATTTCCTATTGGCGACAAGGAGATTTTCAGAGAAAAACTATGAATCTGTAGTAAGCAACAATTCAATGAGAGAAAAACTAAGCTCGAAAAGTAAACTAAATTCAAGCAGGTATAATCTTTAAATTCCCAACTTTGAAAAGGCCATAGAATCTAACTTTATTGTGGAAGAAAGACATCCAAGCCCAGGAAAGTAAAGAAAATCTAAAAAGCATAATTTTCAAAACATAATAAATACTCATGCAACTTGCTCATAAATGCCAACAAACATGTTTAATCACTAAGTTGCCAGAGGAAATCTAGGATCTCCTAAGCCTAAAGTAATTAATAAGATCGTAAATTAAGGTAATATCTCTTAACAGTCAAAAAAGGAAATTTTTGAAAAAAAGAGCGCCAATATAACCTTGAAAAATGCACCCTCTCAAACATCAACTATTGATATGTCATTAAAGATGAACAGTACACCCAGTACTCAATCAAATACCACAAAGAAATCTCATAATAATTCAATTCTACCCAAACAATTAGATTATATGAATAATTCCAAGGTATCTTAAAAATAATAAATTCAATAATAATAATAAAATTAGAATAATTCTGTCCTTTAAAACTCAAGATAAGCTATGCATAGTAGAAGCAATAGAGATATTTTAAGAGGGAAAGAGTCACCTGGAATGTCTTGCAATTAAATAAATTTCAAGAAGCCTTATGCTGCCCCAATATAGAAGATAGATTTAGCTTAGACAATTGCGACAGAAGCCGAATAATGGAAGGAAATTCTTAAATTCTTTGCGTAATGGCAAATTCAACCAATTAAGTTAAAGAATGCGTATACAAAAACAGAAGTGCTAGATTTTATTACAGTTATGGCTAATAAGATAACAGATCTGGATAAAGTAACAAACTATGAAAGAGGAAAGGCTGATGAATATAAGGAGGAGAGTAACATTCTAAATGAGTAAGTGGAAATGTATAAGAAGCAATACATAGAACTCCAAAATAGTATTACTGATATAAGGAAAGAATTTGGAAAGCATCAGGAGATGATTACTAAAATGGAAGAATGCTAACAAGAGCTTAAGTAAACGCTACTCAATAGTTTGATGTGCTTAGACTTCTATAAGGACCTTGAGAATTACATCCAGGAAAATAGGTATGAGTAACAAAATCAAGAAATTATTCATCATTTTGATGTGATTGAGGAGCTTGTTTAACAACACGGTCTATATAGCTTAGATTTCGATACTGATAGAATCCAAAAGCTTATAGACTCTATCTCAGATTATGTCAAAATAAGAGAGGTTGAGAAAAAAATCATTGAAATCAGTGTAGGAGATGATGAGTGCGATAAAAGTGACGATGATGATGACTGCGAGTCAGAAGATTTAAGAATCAAAGTAAAGAAGCATCCAACAAATCATGAGAAAAATGGGTCCATGGGAATAGTCGGAAATGCAAATGAAAGCCGAATGAATAGCTCTAATAGAATGGCAAGCTAGACAAGATTGTCAGGGGTCTCAAGCAGATAAGGGAAACCAACTAGACAGTCAGCACATCACTAAGCATGTGTATGCAATGGAAATCTATTGTTTTAACAGAATCATTTAAAAGATGAAATTAAAAATAAAAATCAGATTATTAACAGAATTAGAGAGCAATTGGAGCATAAAATGAAAAAAATAATTGAATTAAAATATCAACTAAAAAAGGAAAGAGATAAGGATTATCAAAAGAGACAGCATTATATGTATAAAGATTCGATAGTCAAACTAGAGAAGGAATATAACTTGCTGGTTATTAAGAATACTAAGTTGTAACTTGAATTATAAAATGAAAAAGATGAAAATGAGAATGTTTGGCTAGAAAACAACAAGTAAAAAGAAATTGTCAAGGATTAGGCCAATGATATAATTGAACTGAGGAGATGCCTTCATGAAAAAGAGGGCTACAGTTAGCTTGAAACAACTGTTAACCAATTAATTAACATGTTGGTAAGCAAAAAGAATGATTAATTATCTTAAAATCAGAGGTAATAACTCAAATCAATATTTGGAAATCATTCCATTCTTTATAAGTTAAGGTAAAGAGTTTAATCTATAGAAATACACTATGCTAAGCTTAGCCAGCTAATGACAAATTCTGTGAAGTTGAATTTGACATTTTAAGAAGTAATTGAAGAATTGTGGGCAATGCTTAAACAAGTGTTTATGGCTTTTAAAGAAGCAAACATAGATGATGTTTACAGTTAACCAATTATGCAACTTCATTAAGCTCTACTTTAGAGATTCTCTGAACAGAATATTGATTAAAAAGAAAGAGAACTTGCTTCATATCTAGTATAATTAAAAGAGATTAAACAAGAATTGTCAAAAGAGGCTGTGGCAGAGGAAATGAGCAAGATTATGTCTGAAGATAAAGATAGGATTAATTTGCTTTCTATGATAGTCGATTCTTAAGGCTAAAGTTAGGATAATAGACATTAGAGAAGCTTTGGCTACCCATCTGTCAATCAAGATATTAATGTGTTGTCGATGATAGATTCACCAAATGGAGAAAAATTTTTGAATTTTGATATTACTAATAGTAATACTGAGGAGGGTAACTTTAACCAACTACGAAAGCCATCAAATGGAGAAAACTAACTCCTTTAATAACAATTAAGGCATTTCCATTCTCTAAATCAAAATATGTCCAAAATAAAGTCTGATAAATAGGGTAAGACTAAAAGAAAGAAGAGCAACTTCAATGACGTGCATTAATTTAACAGAAAAGGCAAAAGTAGTCCGAGGAATGGCTAACTAGATAATTCACTACTTATAGGAGACATTACTGACATGAATATTTAAGACTTCCAAGTTCTCTTTGAAGAATCAAAGATTGTAAGCGAGATGCTAATGAGTGAAAGAGATGATACTCACACTAGATCAATCAATTAAGCTGAAATTGTTAACTTCAAAAGAAAAGATAAAAGATATGATTGAAGTACTGCATTATAATATAATCACAAAGCTGAAGAATTTCTGCTTAAAGACTCTAGTTAACTTAATTTTCCTCACATTAATATTAATAAATATTTATGTAAGAGTTGATAAGTATAATTTTTAATCATTATTACTCTCAAACAATTAAACTATATCTTCTCGGGGTTTTGGGGTTTTGGGGTTTTGGGG